TTAAATTATCTAAAATATAAAATCATTTTTTGTATAAATGTACATTTGTGGATTTGATAGATTCAATTTATAAAATATTCTTGAATGTTTTGTAAATAAAAAATATATTATTATTTAATAAAAATAAAATATAAATTAATATTTCATACAAATTTTAAGATACATATCATGTGCACATTATAAATTTTAAGTAGTAAAATAATTATTCTATTATTAATATTTTTATTCGTATAAATTTCTTGAGATTAAAATCATTTTTTTGATATAAATGTAGATTTGATAGATTATTTATTCTATTAGTTTATAAAATACTAACTTTGAATATTATTCTTTTTAATTTGTAGTTGGGGTTGTTGAATATAAAGATATATTATTTATTTGGATTGCATGTAGACATTAAAGTTAATAAATAAAAGTTAATTTATTTCATTTTTTATTATAAAATGAAAAGTGTCTTAGTGGTTAAGGGTGCATTTAAGTCTTGGGCACTTGGTGACTTGAGTTCAAATCATGTCATCTCCTACGGGGTTAAATATGCGTGTTGTCCGATTGTGTCAATACATATCGAACCATATTGGTTAATATGGATTATAAGAAAAATAATAGGTAAATAAGAAAATGTAGTTAGATATATTGATTTTATGAGAATTAAGGTATAAATACATATGTTTTAGTTCTTTTCAACAATTATCAATTTTCACCCAACATTTCACATTTTATATAAACCATTAAGTATATATATTATTTTTATATGTAAATAATTTATTTATATTCATCTAAAACTCCTATTTCTTGTTATTAATATATTTTTTATATTTATTTTAGTTTCTTAGTGTATCTTAATTTATATCCACATATATCTAAAGCATAGCACGATATATCTCTTAAAATTATATTTTCGATACTTTAAACCTTCATTATACCACTTGTATGCTGGTATATATTTAACATTGTAGAGCTTAGTTTAGTTCTTATCAACGTGAAAATTATAATGGCCTATTTCAACACAAAAAAAGAGTTTTTTTTTCTTCAAAAAGAGTGGAACAATAACATTAGCTTTCTTTTTTGCACCTTCTAACTTTTTTTTGTGGTAAAAGATCATCAATATTCATTACTTGAAGAAGACAAAAAGGTATTACAGTCTCTGTATAACGCCTGAGGACAACTAAGCGGGAGGAACCTCAAAATAATTAAAGGAACTGGGCTTAGTATGGCTTTTTTTTGGCTAACAAATTTGCAACCCCATTATTTTTTGTGAAATCCACTTGAACGAGCTGACTTCACGTCTTCCAGCAAGCTCCAAAATGTCTGAGATGATGGAAAGCAGTACTGGAAGGAAGCAAAAAAAAAAAGAGGAATCTTGATCATAGAAATCAAAACTCCCGAATCCGACTCCACCTGAAACCATGAGAAGCCACAAGCCACTGCTTCTGCCAAACCTGCTCTCAGAGCCACAGCTTCCGCTTCCAAAGCCTATTGAGGAGCACAGAAAGGAACCACCACCTACTGCCCTTACAAGGGAAGCCAACTCAGATCTGAAAATACATCCAAAGGCGCCTCTATTCCTTGAGGCCATAAATGCTGCATCTGAATTCAATTTCAGGACACCCACTGGAGTGTGAGGAGTTTCTGCCTGGGAATTTAGGAGGAGGGGAGCTCCAACCTTGACAATCTTCCCATTATCTAAGGATGAGTCCGAGCTGGTGAAAACTAATTCATTCCTGCGTTTCCAAATGTGCCAGCAGCTGGTAATTGCCTATAAAGAAATAAGGCTAGTCTCCTGAGCCTCCATGGAAAAGCTATGACTAAACCAGGAGGAAACCCAGGAAGCCATAGACTGATGAGACACCAGATCAGAATGGAGATTTCCATGAATACAAAAAACCGAACTGCCCGAGCAAAGTGACGATGCAAAGGAGTATGCATTAACCACTTTAGCAAAACTTGCCGCTTCAGAAAGCAGAGCGAGGGTACAAAGGATGAGTCATGGGTGTATGTGGGAGATGAGGATCTGACGGAAGGTTCATTGAAACTACCAAATTTTTGAATCCACTCCCACATGACCATGGCTAAATAGGTTGGCAATGGGATATAATACCTTACAGCATCAACTCGGCGAATGCTTGACACCCTTATATTATCTCTACCAAAAAAAAAAAAAAAAAGACCCTCTATATTATCTATCAACTTAGCAGAGAGAGCCTTTAACAATAGCATTTCGAAGAAATATTGAAGAATAATCAAGGGCATTTCTGTTGTTTAACCTATTAAGGTAAAAACAATTTGACAGGATATATTTAAGTAATTACCCCTTAAAAATAAAATCAAAACAGTTTAAAATAAAGTCAACGGGGTGGTAGATGTTGCTGATTCTAATATAAAAATAATTCAACAGAGAGAAAATGAGAGAGAGAGAGAGAGAGAGAGAGAGAGGTGGAACTATGGAGTAGAACAAGTTGAACAAAAGACGCAGAGAGAAAATGAGAATTTGTTCTTGGATTTGGTGGGAAAGTCTAGAAACATCATTCTTTCCGATGGATTGGAATCCAGCAGGGGCCCCTTCATGATTACTTGTTTATTGCTTACATCTATAACATACTCCACCAATCCTGCACAAACCCAACCACAAACAATAAGAAAAGCTTAGGTGCGTTATCAGCTGTAGCTGTAGTAGACAAGCGTCAATCTCTCTTCCGACCTCTCTCTCTCTCTCTCTCTCTCTCTCTCTCTCCACATGGACACGGATGGAACTTGTCAACAACATCAGATTATGGGGTGGGTATGTAATGCTCTTACCGTTCATCTTGGAAATAACTTGGGTGACTCGTTGGCGACAATGGGTGCAGCCCATGTTAGCATTCATCACAACCACCTGAAACTGCAACCACAGTGCGATCGAAATTTAATGAGCTATATTATTAACATTAACCAAACATGCATGTGTGGGTCAAGAATCGCCACTTCCACTAATCCAGAGAAACAAAAATCTTATGGGTTGGAAACGCTGTGTATGTTCAGATGACTGTGAGGCGCCAGCTAAATTGTAAATTGTTTAAACTTGGGACAGAGTTCTGTTTCAAGTGAGTCAAGTTATGTCATTTTGATTGCTACTAGTTTTACAACAAAGGTTTCCAAGATCGAGCCAAGGGAAACAAATTCTAAATGGAGAACAATTTGTTTTGTTTTGTTTCTTCTAGAATCTCTGAAATATCTATCAAGCTAAAAAATTCTTCTTACTCTATATTCGCGTGCGTTCGACAGAGAGAGAAAGTAGAAAAAGAAGAAGATAATGATGATAGTGAAGGACAATGAGAAAATAGAAGATGATGATGATGAAACTAAGATTTATTTTGAACTTACAGGAGGAAGCGTCAAGTTCTCCGCAAATCTCAGAGCTTGCTTTTTTACATTCGCCATTATCGCATCTCTGTCTGTCTGTCTCAAAAGGCTCTTGCATTTGACAATTTATATGGTAATTGTAGTATACAAGTAGATGCTGACTGGTGGAGCTACAGAGATAACAAATACATAAGTAATATAGACTCTTGGCAATTGGCAGTTCCACTAGTTTTCTACCCATAAATATTAATACAACGTACCAACGTACAATGTGGATATTCAATGATTCAATCCCAATCGTCCGTTCACTTCCCTCCACAGTCCCCAGCTTTCCTCAGACTTTTACTGACTTTACAACTACACTGTTACATCTTTACATACATGGTGGATGGATAAGAGTATAACACCCTCCTCCTTTTCCTACCTCTCACGTAAGAGGTAGTATGAAAAACATCCTGGTAAATAATTTAGCTTTTTTAATTAAAATTTGCTCTCTACTTTCTTGGAATCTAATTCAGAAGTGAACCATTCAATCAGGGCCCCGCTCTCATGGGGAATCCTAGATGATGAATCCAAATGAAATATTAATTATTGATTACTAAACTAACTAACATATTAATTGTTGAGAATGCAATGCATGTGATAAAATGAGTTGGGTCTATCAGTATCAGTTGAATTGTCCATTTTTTTGTACCGAAGATGCAGTAGAAAAGGCCATGGTCATGGTCATGATAAATAAAATATACAACAGGGGCAACAAAAACAATTAGTGGGGAGAATACTTGTACCAGAAACACTGATAGAGAAGTTTAAAGCTTGGGTTGGCCTCCTTAGTTCCTACCCAAAAACAATTATGGGCTTCACGTTCTTGTCATTACTCTCTTAATTGTACATATAAAAGTAAAATTATATTAGTGGAGGATTAATAAATGATGAAATGCAACTATGTTCTATATACTCATATAAACTAGTTTCTAAATTAGGTGAGATAGATGATAGGAGCATTGCTTGGTCAAAACTATCGGTTTGGGGTCCATGTCACCTTTTCTTCCTAGTGATTAATTAGTATTAATATTATTCTCTAGCGAGAGGGAGGACATTGTAGGTAGGCGACGACAAAAGTGTAGGCGTGTAACTATAACTCTCTTTTATCCAACTAACTTAAAAACCGATCAAAACACATTAGGCCAAGGCCTACCACCTAGCGAAAATCAGCCCCCCCATTCCAAAAAGACGCTTATGGTACTCTTCTGGCTGTTGTTCTAAACGAATTAGGTAACTATGACCTCAACCACGAGAAGATTGTTACGTTTTTAATGTCTGTTTGGCATCGATGCCATTACTCCAGAAAACAGCAATACATTAGCGCCACGTCGAAAAAAATGGTGTTCTAGAAAATGCCTGTTTGTTTAGAATTGTTGCTCAAAACCACATCTTAAAAATCGGAAAGGCATGACTTGAATCAACACCAAATTTGGCATTTCCTGAAGCTACAGCTCATTACTGCCAACAAGGACATGACGTAGCACTGAATAATAGGTACCAATGTTAAAAATGTTTCCTAAAGCATTGGTTCCAAACAAAACTTTGCTGTTGCTCCTGGAAATGTCTTCTTAAACCGTTTTTATGTGAATAAACAAATATCCAATTTTCCAAGGAAAGACTCTAAAATCTCTTTAATTCATCAACCATAATAAAGTTGGGTTAATGGTAAAATACAGAGCTGGTACTATTCAAGAAACCTAGTTTGTACGTCTTCCATGCTTTGGTAGATTGTCGCATAACAAATTTTGGACAGGGAAATGTGAATTCAACAATCATTGATTTTACAATTTCAGAGGATAAAGAAGAGGGTGTGGTTCCACCTGAAACATCCACAACTAAAAACAGTAGGAAAGTTTAAAATATGGAAAAGAAAAAAACAAAAGAAACTTGCACAAACAGAAATGCTTTCTCGTGGGGCAAGCCAACACCATCCAAGACGTAACAACCACTTCCACGCCTAACATTTGTAGATAAGACACCTCAGTGACCCCCCCCCCCCAAGAAACAACAGCCTGCCTCGTATTTACAGCGTACAGGCCACAATCACAACACCCTACGCAAGCAGAATAAAGAGTCAGGTAAATCTTCTGTCTTGTACAACAGGAAACAATTGTTGTAACTGTATAATAACCACTATTGCATATTTGAAAGTCATTTTAACAACCTGGTCCAAATATCCTACTACTTGGTAGTGAGTTAAAAACAGCACATCAGTTGGCTGCAATCTTATGATCAATGGGAAAGGCACTTCTTTGGTTAAAACAAAGAAATCAATAAACAACAAGACTGCAACACGAATCTGAATCAGATGCAAATTTTGCACCCAGTTCAGTTTTCTATCCATTCGTTTGTAACTATGATTACGTACTTTTTGTCTCATTTGCAGTGCAAACCACCTTCCACCTACCTCAATTCTCTCTCATATAAAGTGTGGAGTGGGGACATCCACCTCACTCCTAAACAAATAACCCTCCCCTGACCTCCATTCTCTTGCATATAAGGTAGAGATATCATGTTACTTTTTACAGACAAACAGACAGTCAAATCTGAAGAAAAAAGTAAATCAGAACTTACACAGCCTATTTGCACTCCCATGCATTTATACTGATGCAAATGAAAATTGCACTGCAACCAAACTGAGCCTAAGAAAAAGTCAAACTTGTGCAAAGTTCCCATTTATATCCCCCTTATCTAAGCCACGTGAAACTCACATGCTGCAAACTAATAAAAATACTGTTTCTAAGAATAGAGGCACAAATAAAAGCATAAGAGAAATGTTATGGTGATATGCAACAGGATGAAGCCATAGAAAAGGCCCGGGATCATTCAAGAGCACTGAATGTCTGCTATACTAGTTACAGCCTTACAGGATATCTCCATGAAACACTTAATAGAGGAAAGGTCTGAGAACCTTTTTTATGATCAGTAGTTAGTTGAGAACTCTTGCAATAACAACTTTCTTAGCAAGAGCTCCTTGCAACATTCTTCAATTAATAAATGCAAGAAAAAAGAATTCATTCCTTCAACAGCTACATTTTTTATGCAACATAATAGGCTGCTGATGCGCGCAGGAAGTAAATACACCTAATAGTTAGATTTTAGAACCACATACAAAATATACACATATACAGTATACCCCCTTTATAAATCAAAAGTTGAATTGAAATCAAAACCTCCTGTTGACGCCGAAAGTGGTTGAAGGAAAAGCTTTAAAAATCCCTAAGAATCAAGCAGAATTAAACCTTATTTCATGGACTACCCATTTCATGGTCAGCCAAGACGAAATAAGCTTAGGTAAATCTTGAGGTGTCACACAATTTCACCCAAATAGTAACAGAAAATGAAGCCATATTTCAGGAACAACCTTGACCATGGATTAGGAGCTTAGGCCTTAGGGACAATCTCTTTTTCAATACCACATAGGTAGCAAATGTGGTCAATAGTCCTGGCCCTTGAAATCAAGTTATTAAATAGTTAAAATCTTACCCAAGGTGGTGATCCACATGAAAGAAGATTACCTGGGAGTGCACATGCACATCTCCCCACAGCCAATTCAATGGAAAAGTCTGCAGGAGTAAAAAAGGAACCATAAAATGATTTGACCAGAAAGCACCACCCTTGTTAACCTTCCAAAGCCTTTGCATCTTCTTCTCCCACTTTCAAGCAAGAGCACTAGAGAATCATCTTACAATTGTTCAAATGATGTGACTGATGTCTCAGGCACAAAGACCATACCACATGACCAGCAACTACGTTTTTTTTTTACCTTATGACCAGCAACTACTTTGTAACTGGTATTATCCTCATGTTATCCCTACCCTGTCTTTTCCACACCGGCCACTATACAGAAAAATCTCAACCTTCTGCCCATTAAGGCCCTAATTCATTCCACATTGCAAAAATTAGTGACACCATACCCAAAAACCCCCTAAAAAAGAACTATTAATTGACTCAAAATAAGGAACCAAGACTTACCTCATGCAGAGCCCCCTCCCGTCTTTTCCACACCTGTCACTATACAGAAAAATCTCAACCTTCTGCCCATCAAGGCCCTAATTCATTCCACATCGCAAAAATTAGTGACACCATACCCAAAACCCCCTAAAAAAGAACTATTAATTGACTCAAAATAAGGAACCAAGACTTACCTCATGGAGACCCCCCCCCCCAACCTCATCCTCTACCCCTCTTGCTCTTGTTGGAAGCTTTGACAGTAACTCAACAAATATAAGCTTAATAGCTAATGATACCTTATCCTGTAGGGAATGCTCCCCAACGTAACCCTGCTTTTCCAAGGTGAGCTTTTTATGTGGACTGCAACCTTGGGCAATATTATTAGTATCAATCACCTTATTTCTCTGGTTAGAGATATGGATAATAGATGCAGCTTATGTGTGGTTGATGAAGAATTGGCCCCGGGTCCCCTGATTATTAAGTATTATTACACTGCCCAGTTGCTTGTGAAATATGGTCTCGGTTCCTATGGTTGTTCAAGAGAGAAAGGGTTTCACACTGTGCCAAAGCATTTGAAAGAAATGAACTCCTGTATTATTTAAGCAAGATGGCGGCAAATGAAACTCACTGGAAAGATAGAATGTTAAAGGGTCCTCGTCCTTAATGGCTTTAAAGGCTTTTTATATGGTCATTTCAGGATTAACTGGGAGGATATTCTGTGTAATTCCTCTTCTGACATGTAGAGACAAGCTGTATACGGGGGCAGGATTACAAATGTACATATACTATACATTACTTTTACTCACTATGTAAAGTTTCTTGTATTTTGGGGGCCTGGGGCTTTCCCTTTTTATAGTATCATAAAACGAAACTTATCAAAAATACAACCCTACACCTTCTAATAAGCCTGTAAGCCATCTACTGAAGAACTTGGGGAAATCAAAATCCTTGTAAACAATATCTTACCTCTAGACACCAAAGTGCCTGCTTCTTAACATATGGAAAACATAGCCAACACTGAAGCAACCAATAACAATCTGGGAATCATCCTCAACCTCCACATGTCGTGGATCTACATTAGCCATTCAAAACTCTTACCTATGGTCCATAGTTAAAGTAATTCCAAGAATTTTACTAATGTAGTCAAAAGAATGTCACAAGGTATTTAGGGTATTTTGACGTATCATCTTGATCTCCCTTTAATAAAATCTCTTCATTCATTAAAAAAAAAGGTATTTAGGTGTTTTACCAATATTGCATGGCTGCTTCTATATTGGTAGAGTACCCATTCTGGATAAATGTCAGACTGCTTAAATGTTTATCTTCCATTGGATCATACATGAATGATTTGCTATGTATGTACTAAGAGCTCTATCTTTAGTCTTCACCTAAAGTAAGTTTCTAGATCTTGCATGTTTTTGTTACCTCATAATTGTGACAATCATAGGTTCAACTATTTGGCCTAAATGGTTGAACTGCTTACCAGCCATCTAAAAAACGGTCTCATTTATTGGTTAGCTTTAAAGATATAGATTCTATATTATTAAAATTAGTGCCCATGCCTTCATGGATCTAATTAGTTGAATTTAATGACGAGAAATAAAAATAACTTAAAATATAAGATTCAATGTGAGATAATGAGAGCTAAAAGATATTCTTGTCTCCTACATTATCTAATTACAATGATGAGTTCACAAATCACATTCTTTTAGCATTTGTCAAGCAGTCAAGCTGAATTCTCTTTTTTTTTTTTTGATAGGTAAAAAACGAAGATTTTATTAAAATAAAAGAAAATACGAGCAGAGGGTGACGAATCATTGGCCCTTACAATCTGAAATTCCAGCACTTCCCTAAATTTCCCCCAGATCCTTTCTATCAATATGTCTGAATTCTGGATGAACCATAACACAATCAGCAACCAACTTGCTTACAGCAGCCACAATCCGATCCATGCTATAGAGTTTGGCTTCAAAGATTCTTCTATTCCTCTCCTTCCACAAGCTCCAACATATTGCAAAGGGTATGCAGCTCCAAACTACCTTAGCCTTCTTGGATCCTCTTAACTTCGGCCAAGTTGAAAAGATTTCTGAGGCAGAATTTGGCATAAAGTCAGGTGCCCCAAACATCTTGGTGAACAGTCTCCATAGGAAATCAGTATACTTGCATGTTGCATCCGATAAACAAATGTCTGACATTCTCTTCTTTCTAACAAAGACAGCACCTATTCGCCATGCCGAAGCCTCTTGAGTTATATGATCCATTGTTAGAATACTGTCCATCACCAGCAGCCAAGCAAATGCTTCTACCCTTGGGGGAACCGGATTTCCCCATACTCCCTGACTGGATTGAATTCAAACTGTTTCTGCAAAGTGCTAGATAACATGACTTCACTGAAAATTTGCCATTTGAGCACTCCTTCCACCAGAGTTCATCCCTTCTCTGAGGAGAAATCTTCACCTCATTTAATTTTCCCAACAAATTTATGCACTCCACCTCTCTCTATCCAGCAGAGGCCGTCTGAATTTTGTCCATATCAACTGATCTCCCCTTCTATCATAGCAGCTACTAATAGTAGTTTCAGCCTCAGCCAGCTTATACAACCTTGGGCACAACTCCATCAACTTGCCTACCACACTTCAATCATCCTCCCAAAACCTGATTCTTGAACCATCTCCTGCTGAGAAGCTTACTAGGCTTCTGAATTCCTCATTAAAACTCATAATCCCCTTCCATACACTCACCCCATATGACGACCTTACTTCTCTAGGTTCCCAACCCAACCTTACCACCCCATATTTCCCCACCACCACCCTCTTCCACAAGGATTCCTCCTCTCTCCCTAACCCAAACCTCCATAACCATTTCCCCAGCAAAGCCCTGTTGAAAACTCTCAACCTTCTAATCCCTAGCCCTCCCTCTTTCTGTGGTCTGCATACCTTATTCCATCTCACCAAATGGAGTTTTTCCTCCTCCCCCTTCCCAATCCCTCCCAAAGAAAATCCCTTTGTATCTTCTCTATTCTTTTGGCTACCAGAGATGGAATTTTCAACAGGGACAAGTAATAAGTTAGAAGACTAGAGAGGACACTTTTAAGTAGAG